TGGTACCCCTATAATGCAGATATTGTTCCGTTTCAATTGGTCACTCAGCTCTCTTAGAATTCTTTCATTCCTGGAGATCCTTTTATCTCTCTCTGCATCAGCTTCTCTGCATTCCTGTTCTCTGTTTTCTAGTCCATTAATGGTCTCTTGCATCTCATCCATTCTGTTTTGAAGTCCTTCCAGAGCTTGTTTCATTTCTGTATTCTCCTTCCTTAGTTCTTGCATACTTCTCTGCAAGTCCATGAGGATGGTTATGACTTTTGTTTTGAATTCTTTTTCAGGAAGACATGTTAAATCTATCTCCCCAGGTTCCTTCTCAGGGGAAGATGTAGCAGATGCCGAAGCTGTCTGGGTTAGTCTTGTCTGGATCATATTTTTTTGCCTTTTCATGTTGATAGGTGCTATTGACTGTCAGCTGGGAGGGCCAAACTTTCCACTTGCTACTGGCCTTTCTTTACTGGGACAACTGTGGCCCCTAGTGACTTTTGTTGGGTAATTGCATGTAGACTGGGTCTTTGTGTCTTGCCCGGCCAGTATGGTGGAAGCTCCCTTGCTGAGGGCATGGCCAGCCTTAGGCTGCTTCTCTGCTTTCGCCTCACTGCGGAGGGGTAATGGATGGGGGGCTGTTTGGCTGTTTACCTCCATGAGGGTTCTCAGAGCTGTTGCCCAGGGGGTTAGTGCGCCCAGTTTTCCCTGGGATTTATAGCTGCTGGACCGTGACCTGTGTTGTTTCTGTCCAGCTGTTGCGTCCCTGTCCCTTTAAGACTTTCAAAAAGCACTTGCTTTTCTTTGTCACAGTGGCATCAGCTTCAGAACCCACTCAGAGGTCTTGCTGCCCTGTTTCCCTAGTTTCCAGCCCTCCACGCATGCACTGTGTCTGCGCTCTGGTGCAGATGCCTAGGGCTGGGTGTTTAGCAGTCCTGGGCTCCTTCTCCCTCCCCACTCCGACTCCTCTCTTCCTGCAGGTAGCTGGAGTGAGGGGCTCTCGGGTCCTGCCAGGCCGGGGCTTGTATCTTACCCCTTTCACCAGGCGCTGAGCTCTCGCACGTGTGGATGTAGTCTGGCTGTTTTCCTGTGTCTTCTGGTCTCTCTTTTAGGATTAGTTGTATTTGTTGTATTTTCAAAAATATATATGTTTTTGGGAGATGATTCCCACTGTCTTACTCACACCGCCATGTTGGCTTCTCACATGTTGAGAAGTTTTAAGATTTATTCTCTTAGCAGCTTTCTGATGTGTGATTGATAGAGTATTATTAACTATAGTCACCATGATGTACAGTATATTCCTAGAACTTATTTATAACTGGTAATATGTACCTTTTGACCATTTTCTCACATTTCACCTCACTCCCAACCCTTCACCTTTTGCAACCACAAATCTGTTCTCTGTATCTATGAAATTGTTTTTGTTTTTTCAGTTTCTACATATAAGTGAAATCATACAGTATTTGCCTTTCTCTCTTTTTCTCTCTGACTGACTTATTCACTTAGCATAGTGCCTTCAAGGTACATCCGTTGTCACAGAAGGCAAGATTTCCTTTTTTTTAAATGGCTGAATAATATTCTAGTGTGTGTGTGTGTGTGTGTGTGTCTGTGTGTGTGTGAGTGATATATCACATTTTCTTCATCCATTCACCCATTGGTGGGTACTTAGGTTGTTCCCATGTCTTGGCTGTTATAAATAGTGCTGCAGTAACATTGGAGTGCAGATATCTTTTCAAATTAGTGTTTTCATTTTCTTCAAATAAATACCGAGAAGTGGAATTGCTGCATTATATGGTAGTTCTGTTTTTAATTTTTTGAGGAACTTTCATACTGTTTTCCATAGTGGCTGCACCAATTAACATTTTTACCAGTAGTGCACAAGGATTCCCTCTTCTGCACATCCTCACCAACACTTGTTCTTTTCATTTTGATAATAGCCATTCTAACAAGTGTGAGGTGTTATGTCATTTTGGTTTTGATTCGTATTTTCCTTGCTGGTTGCTTGTGTTGAGCATTTTTCGTATGTCTGTTGGCCATCTGTATGTCTTATTTGGAGAAATGTCCATTCAGGTCCTCTGCCCAGTTTTTATTTTTTTTGCTTTGAGTTGTATGAGTCCTTTATATATTTTGGGTATTAGCTCCTTATCATATATATTATTTGCAAATATTTTTTCCCATTCTGTAGGTTGCCTTTTCATTTTGTTGAGGTTTCCTTTCTCTGTAGAAGCATTTTAGTTTGATGTGGCCCCAGTTATTTATGTTTAGTTTTGTTGCCTTTGCTTTTGGTGTCTTCCTTTAATTCTTAGACATGTTTTCCTTTAGCCTTTGAACATATTTATAATAATCAACTTATCATCTTTGTTAAGTCCAACATTTGTGTTTCCTCAGGCATAGTTTCTTTTTACTGCATCTTGCCTGTATATTTGCCATACTTTTCTATTTCTTTGAGTGTCCCCTAATTTTTTGTTGAAAACTGGGCATTTTAAGTGATATAATTTGGCAGCTCTGGAAATCAGGTAGCTGCCAGGATTTATTGTCATTGGTGTTTCTTGTTCTTTTTATTCAGTGACTGTTCAGGCTAATTCTGTAAAGGTTGTTTTTCTTTCTGGTGTGCAGCCAATCAAGTGTCTGCTCAGTTAATTTAGTGAACAGCTAATGACTGGGCAGAGATTCTCTTAAATTTGTTGAGTCAGTAAATCTCACAGCCTTTGCTGAGAGCCTCTGTGTAAGTATATTGGGTGAAGCATGTCTTTAGTGTTCTGTCAGGTAGTTTACAACTCTGTCTGGTCTTCAGTTCCTTTTTGTACAGAGTCTCAAAGTCAGCCAGAGAAAAGAAATTATTGCTTTGTCAAATCTTCCGTGGGTATATAAACTGTCCTACACATGTGTGTGGTAATCTAGATTCCCAGGAATATGTGACAGCTTTTAAATACCCCTCTGAATATTTTGTGGTTTGTTCGTTCGTTCGTCTCTCCCTCCCTCCTCTTACTAGCCTTAAATGGTAATCCTATTTCAGGTTGTGATGTTTTACAATTGCCAGATACTTTTTTAGGGGGTGGCAGAACCCTGGGGAGACAGCTGTTCATACAGAATGAGTTCTGAATCAGGTCAGTTAAAGACATGCTCATGTAATCGGCTTTTTAGCTAGCTCCCAGATAGGACATATAGGGACAGTTCTCTAGGGATGAGGATTTTGAAGAGCTCCAAAGCCATTCTTCTCCCTCCATGGCTGCTAGGATAATAGTTTTCACAGCTACCATGGTTGCAAGGCTGTCGTTTTTCAAAGAGAGCACAAACCTGGGAATAGGAGGATGGGATTACAGCAAGTAAAAGTGTCACAAAGCCTGTCATCCTTTCAGAGATTCAGCCATTTTTTCTTAAGTACTCCTTGGATTTTTGCAAGGTTTTGGGTAGTTCTAAAATATCTGCAAAGTTGATTTCATCAGTTATTCCAGTGGTCTCTTTCTGTTTGTGGAGGAGTAGCTTTGTAGTGGTCCTCAATCTGCCACTCTGCAAGTGCTTCAGCACCATTGTTCTTAGTTTTTTCTTAAATAATTTTGCAATAATATGTATCTTAAAGGTTTGTCAATACTGTATATGATATTTCCAGGATGCTTTCATATCATGGTAATGAGCTAGCTTTCCTTAAAATTTTAGAGACAATTTTTTTGGATTTCCTTTTATTTTTTCCTAACAGTACAATACGGTCTTGATCCGTTTGGGCTGCTATAACAAAATACCGTAGACTGCATAGTTTATAAAGAACAGAAATTTAGCTTTCATAGCTCGGGAGGCTGGACATCCCAGATCAGGGTGCCAGCATGGTCAGATGAGGGCCTTCTTGGTTGCACACTTCTCCTTGTCTTCACACATGGTGGAAGGACCAACGGAGCTCTGTGGGGCCTCTTTTATGAGAGCACTAATCCCATAACCTAATCACCTCCCAAAGGACCTATCTCCTAATTACAAAACTTTGGGCACTAGGTTTAAACATAAGAGATTTAGGGTCCCACAAACATTCAGGCTATGGCAGTAGATTACTTTTCTTTTTTTTTCAGAATGTGATATGTTCCTTCATTCCACATCAAGTTGGAGTCTTTAAAGTGAAGCAGTTTATAGACATTATTGGCCCAGTAATAGATGAAAATTTGCAGTCTTTATCACTGAAACCTTTTCACCGAGTATATTTAGATTTCAACAGTGTCTGCAAACCTTGCACCAAGAAAGCTGTGATGAAAATTAATCCTGGTAAGCTAATGTGTACACTAACCTTTTTTAAAAAAATTAGTGTAGGATTATCCTAATATACTAATTGTTTAGCTATATGTATCAAATGTGGTCTAATCTTATGGTTCGTAGCTTTTGCATGAATCAAAATCACCAGAAGGCCTGTTTAGATAGGTATTGCTGGCCTGCATCCCAGCATTGATTACTAAGTAGGTCTCTGTTGAAGCCCAAAGATTTGCATGTTCCCTGTAGGTGGTGATGCTGCCTTTTTGAGGATTACATTTTAAATAGTACTGGTTTAGTAATCTATAACATTTATTAAATATTTTAAAGGTTTTTATATTTTATTCTACATTTTTGTTCATCTGTAATATAAATTGGTTTTGACAATTCCATGGATTTTCTTGCTGCTATTTCATCTAATCCTCAAGTATCTTTTATATATTGATCCATATGAAATTGCTGATATTCATTTCTCTTTAACCTATAAAACTGTGTTTCCTATGGGCCAACCCAATCCTTTCAGTTCTATGTTTTATTTTTTATGCATGCATTATTTTGTTAAATTGGTTTATATAGGTCTACTTATAAACTGAATTATTCATATTTTCTGAATATGTTTTTGTTTAGAGACAGCTTTAAGTTAGAACCTATGATTAGTGTATTAATTAATTGATAGATATTATTTGGAAAGCTAAAACTAAAAAATGACATTTAAACTTAATATCCAATTTTATGAAAGGTATATCCCCTTTGGTCAGTAATCCTGCTGGACAGATTGTGGCCAAAGACTTGACAGCATACAAGGACTGTGCACCTGTCGCAATGCTGCAGTCAACCCTTACACGCATTCACGATCATCGCTCAAGTGAAGAGTCGAAGGATGCGCCGATAGCCTTTCCCAATGACCGAACTGCAAGTATCAGGTCTGGAGAGCAGAATAGACATTTCAGGTATCATGCTATATTAAAAAGACAAAATGGCCACAATGATATGCAGATGACTTACCAGTTCCCATTGTAACAAACTAATGATTGTAATAATAATGATAATAATAGTAATAAGATTTTTCTTCTCTTTCTTTTTCTTTTTGCATTGGAGGAGATAGTTGTTGGGTGGTTCTGTATTTGCTTTATCTAACCACTGATCACCTCTGCTGTACTTGCCAGGAAGTGAATAGTTTACCAGATGATTCTTAAAATTTGCTATTGACAAGTATAGAATAATACTAAAAATAATGACTTTTGGAAATGTATCAAGTCTTCAGAGTAGTCATGTTTATTATGGCTGAGAGTTTGAATTTAAGATTTATAAAGAAGACTTTAAAATTGTGGAAAAAAGCTAATCATCCTTGTCCATGATGTCATCATTGTCATCATCATCTTTGTCATCGTCTTCATTATCATTTGATCCCCTCCAAGTCACATTTCCTATAACCTTCCCCAAACTGAACTAAAACCTCCCCAATTAGGATCAAAAGTGATGAAAAACTCAATTTGAGCTTAGTGAATCTTACCAAAGAAATAACTATCTTACCCGTGCTTAGTGAGAAGAAACCCAGGCATCCTGACAGGTCTTTATCTGGGCCATTATATCAGAAACTGAGACTGAAATGGGTATTTTTTCTGCCTGCTTGTTTCTCTACCTGGGCCATCTAAACTTGATAATGTCCCTGGGCTTTCTCTATTTGTCTTTTACCTTTGGTGAGGCTTTAAGCTCATTTAACTTTACAGCCATTTTCTTGCACTACCATTTGATTTTTGGACCATAATTGCTTTGTTTTCCACAACTGGAAAATTCTGGGTTTTTATACAGTCTATCTCTTTTATATAGTTTATTATTTTATTTTCTAGATTCCATCCACATCTCTTTTTTATTTGACAAATACCATAAACCACAGAAGTGTAAAAATCACTCAGATTCCGTGTTAGGTAATTATACAGTATAAAAAATGGAAACCCATCCCTCTCTCTGGCTCATTGCACTCTATCCCACCCTGCAGACATGGCTGCTGGAAACAGTTCTTTATGTATCTTATTCATTCACTTCCTATGCTTATACAAATATATCTACATACAGATACAATGTATTAATTTAACATTAACATTTTCTTTCTGTCTAAATCAATATTAATCATATGGTCTAAAAATGCCAGAACTTTTTTGAAGAAGGCCAAGAATTTCCTGTTTATTCCATGGAAGTAATTATTTTCTACAATTTAATTTTTCCTTACTCATAGAAATACAAAGTGTAGTCCAGTTATTTTCTGGCTAGCAATTAGTAACTTTAAGTAATGAAATTTTACAGCGCATTAAATTGTCTATAACAATAGTTGCTATTTTATTTTGTAACACATTTTACCTTTTCAGTTTCTGAGAAGAAAATAAAGAAAATAAAGTAGGAATTTTTGTTTAGCTTTTATTTATTACAGTTATGTCCTGTGCTTAGAACAGTGTCAGGCATATAGTAGACACTCAGTAAATAAATATTTTAATAAATAAATGTGGGAAAATGTTTTATTTACTTAATACTTTTTGTCCCTGTAGTTTGCACATTAGAAAAACAGTGACTTGCTGAAAGCTGTAGAGGTATTTCTTGGAGTTTATTTTTTAAGGAATTGATAAACATTTAGATGTGTCAGTAGTCAGCTCTTTCTCACTTCAAGCATTTACTACTTCTTTCCAACTCTCTCCTTTTCTCCTTGTTACAGAGATACGGATTTAAGATATAGGAATCACTTCTTGGTTCTAAAGGTGATTAAGGTTCCCACAGCCAAGGAAATTTAAATATCAATAATTTATCTTTGAATAACAAAACATCTGTTTCTCTCTTATTGCCTCACTGTTTTACAGACTTTAACTCAGTTGAAGCTGTCTTATTCTAACTATTAAGGAATTGTTAAAGACAGGGAGAAATATTAGATTGAATTTCATTTGATTGTATGATTAATGGGTTCATACTTATGAGTTAATTACTGAGGGTGATTATTGTAATGACTGATGAAATTTGCTGAGAATTGAGGTAAACCAAGGCTAGATGTGAATAAATGGTGGGTGAAAGGAAGAACATGAACCCTGTTGAGTTAATATGAGATATAAAGTTGTTTGCGGTTCTTTCATAGGTTTTTTCTCTGTATAGATTTATTGTTGATGGTTATTTCATGAACTCTGAGATATTAAGAATGTAGCGTGGTTAGCAAATGGATTCATTCTATATTTTTTCTCTAACTTTAATCACAATAATCTAAAAGTAGCTAACTCTTAGGAAACATTAATCAGATTCAGATCTAGTCCCATCTGTAATCTAGAACTGTCCAAATTGCCTATTTGACTAATTCTTTAAGTGGGTTTAGGGTGGGTGCCAGTGACCTTAGATATTTTTTCTAATTAGGTTGAGAAGAAAATTAGATACCATTCTAATTCTACATGTAATCATGTTTTGAGATGTAATAGGATATGAGGGAAAGGACTGGAATCTGTCCTATTCACCACTCTATGTCCAACCTTTGGTATTGGAGGAACTCAATAAATACTGATTGAATAAATGCATATGTACATAAATATTAACATAACTTGCTCATATTGTAGGAAAATTTTCACAAAGATTCCAAGATACAACTATGTGGATCCTGATTTTGCATATACTGAATTTGAAAGAATAGAAAAGAAAGCACATGACAACTATTATGCAAGATACATTGAACATTCAAGAAACATGCGCCTACAGATACAAGCGGAGAGGTAAAGTTCACTTCCTCAGAAAGTATGAAACAGTCCATGGAACTATAGAGCCTTTCTTTACTCTTCAGTTTCTATTTTGTGATTTAAATGACTTTTTCATATATACAAATAGCAGAACATTAAACTAGTTTGACTACAGTTATTTCCTTTCTTTCTTTTGATTTGTGAATGTCTTGGGTGGGTTTCCCCAGAAGCAGATCCTGAGAGAGGGGTTTGAGCACGTGTGATTTTTGGAGAGTGTCCTTTTAGGAGAAACCTGTGCAAGATGAAGGAAACAGGATAGAGCAGGGGAAGGAACTGAGAAATGATGTGTTGCAAGTAAAGCTTACACTCAGCCTGATGCCTAGGTTCTCTTGAACATAAATTATATCACATAGTTCCTGCCTTGAGCCAAGGGGGCTTGTTTTTTGTGCTCCTTCTCCATCATTGATTATGAGCTGTGCCTGGTGGGGTGGGGTGGGCCTAACTCATTGTGAAGGTGTTTGAGAATGCGGTCTCCTCAACAGAGGGCAATTTTATGCCAATTAGTGCATCAGTCTGTTTAAATGGATCTGAGGGGATCTGTAGCATGCGCCTTAGGAAATCTTTGGATTTGCTGATGAGTTTTCTAAAAGACTTGGCCTAATTTCATTATTATGACTTCATAAGGGCATACGTGTATTCATATAACGATACAGACATAGGAGTACAGCCAGGATCAGGTATGAAGTCACCTTCCCTCTCAGCAACAGAAATAGAAGAGGAGTTACCTTCAGCAGTGTGTCAGATCAGACCTAACCAAATGCTAAGTACCACGAAGATGTCATCCAAGGAGACAGCATCTCTGAAAAGAAAGGCATGTGCAATATTTTACTTTTAATTATACCATGACAATTCAAATATCTTTTGCTAATATTGAACAGTTAATTTTGGACTAATGTGAGTTGATTTTTTTCATAGGTTCTCAAAGGACTTAAGTCAGGCCCATGCACACCCCATGAAAAACATGATTGTAGCTTAATTTTGACACCAAAGCAAATTCATCAAGTAATCATTGGTAAGAATTGGTAAAAATAGACTAAAGTCTTTGTTTTTTTAACAGATGTATTGAAGTGTAATTTATATTCCATAAGTTCACCAGTTTAAAGTATGCAAGTCAATCAACTTTAGTAAATTTGCAGGAATGTGCAGCCATCTCACACTTCCATTTTAGAGTGCTGTCATTGCCCTCTTGACCATATGTGGTTACTTCCTGTTCCCACCCTTAGCCCCAGGCAGGTGTTATTCAACTTTGTATCTTTGTAGATTTGCCTATTCTGAACATTTCATATAAAAAGAATAGTACAATATGTGGTCCCTCTTATATTTCTGCTTTTACTTAGCATGTTTTTGAGGTTCATCCATGTGGCAGTAGTTATAAATATTCTCTTCCTTCTTATATCTAAATAGTATCTGATTTTTTGGGAATACCATGTTTTGTTTATCTATTTGCCAATTGATGAACATTGGGCTCTGTTCAGTTTGAAGCTCTATTCTGAATAAGGTTGCTATAAACATTTACATTTAATTCTTTGAGTGAACGTACATTTTCATTTCTTCTGGTTGGATTCCTAGGAGTAGAATTGCTGCTTTGTACTGTAAATTTACATCTAACTTTTGAAGAAACTACCAAAAATTTTCCAGTGTGTACCAAGTTAAAACCCCATGAACAGTGTAATGGGGTTACAATTTCTCCATATTCTCACCAGCAATTGTTTTTTTCTGCCTTTTTTATTGTAGCCTTCCTAGTGGGTGTGAAACATTTTCACTGTGGTTTCGGTTTACATTTCCCTAGTGAGTAAGATGTTGAATATTGTCATGTATTCACTTAGATGTCTATTTAAATCATGTATCTTCTTTGGAGAAATGTCTTTAAAATTCTTTGCCCAATTTTTAATTTGAACATTTGCCTTCTTATTACAGATTTATGAGTTGTTTATATATTTTGGATATAAGTGTTTTATCAGATTCAGATACATGATTTTCAAATATTTTCTCTAAGTCCATTTTTTCACTTTCCTAATAGTATTGTTTAAAGTACAAAACTTTTTAATTTAAATGAAATTGAATTTATCGAATTTTTTTCTTTTATAAGTCATGCGTTAGATGTCATGCCCAAGAAATCTTTAGCTACTCAAGATCACATACATTTTATTTTGTTCTAAAATTTGTGTAATTTTAGGTCTTATATTTAGGACTACAGTTCCTTTTGAGTTAATGTTTGTTTATGGTTTGAGTTAAGAGCCTAAATTCATATTGTTGTATGTGGATAGTCAGTTGTCCCAGCATCATTGCTGAAAATACTATTAGTCCTCATTGAATTGCCCTGGCACCTTTGTAGAAAATCAGTTGACCATATATGTCAGGATTTATTTTGGGTCTCTCAATTCCATTCTGTTGATCTGTACGTCTGTCCTTAAAACAGTTCTACAATCTCTTTGACACTGTAGCTTTATAGTAACTTTTGGAATCAGTAAGTGTAAATCCTCCTAATTTGTTCTTCTTTTTTTTTTTAAAGGAATTTCTTTATTTAAAACTGCATTTTTTTTTCTGTGAAACTACAAGTTTACAAGTGAGAAGAGAATTGCCCCTGGCCCGTGCCTCTCGCCCACCACCCATCACACTCACAGCCTGCCCCCCAGTCGTGCTTGGGTCTTTGATGAGATGGGTTCCACACTATGACAGTCTGTATAAAATCCTGAGGATGTTTGAGGGGTTCAGATGGTCGGATTCAGGGCCAAGGATGGGACAGTGATGGTTTTACTCTCTCCCATACCTGGCTCTTTGCAACCTCCCTCCTCTTCCAGCCCTCTTAATTTTGGACTGAGGGGGAAGAAAAAGACATCTCCTTTCTGGGGAAATAGAGGGAGATACATACACAAGCACCCATTAAAAAGGACTATAAAATCATACAGTAATCATACAGACATCATAATAGTGAATGAAAATACCCAGGCAGACCAGAAAAAAAAACCCTCTTAACTCCTAGGGCATTGGAGCAGAGTATTTAGGAAGTTCTTACCTCAGTAGTAAAAAATAATTACTATTCAGAGCACTACTGTGGACCTGGGTAACTTTCATAAAGGCAAGATCTGGAAGGATCGATCTTTTTCAAAAAGTAACTTTCTCCTGGAACATAGCTCAAGAATACTCATAGGAATATGAAAAATATCCAGCACTTAATGAGATAATATTTACAGTATCTGATATCCAAACATAGATTACTAGGCATAAAAAGAAGCAGGAAAACACAATCCATTACAAGAAGAACAGTTGATCAATTAAACCTAACCAATAAGGGTATATATATATATATATATATATATATATATATGTTAGTAGTATCCAACAAGGCCGTTGAAACAATCATTATAACTGTACCCTTTATATTCAAAAAGTTATGCAGAGACATAGAAGATATAAAAAATGATCCATATGCTCTGCAGATTCAACACAGTTCTAATCAAAATCCCATCAAGATCTTTTGTACAAATTGTCAGATCCATTTTAAAACTCAGATAAAGGCACAAAGTAATTACAGTAGTCAAAACAATTTTGAAAAAGAAAAACAAGTTGGAGATAAAACATCACCTGATTTCAAGACTTACAAAGTTACAGCAATCAAAAAAATAGTGTGGTATTGCCATAAATATAGACACATAGATCAATGAAACCTAAGTGAGGGTTTAGGAATAGGCCTGCACATACTGGACAACTGAATTTTGACAAAGGTACAAAGATAATGCAGTGCAGAAAGGATTGTTTTCAGTAATTAGCACTGGTGCATATGAACCACATAACAAAAAGAAAAAGGAAAGCGGAGTTTGTATCCATACATTCTATTATGTGCCAAAAGTAAATCAAAATAGATCATAAGCTACGTGCTTCCTCCCTTGCAGAAGGAAGCATAGGACAAAATATCTGTGACCATAGGGAAAGCAAAAAACTCTTAGATATGACCCAAAAAATATGATCCATAAAAGAACAAATGGATAAATTGGAATTGATCAAATTTAAAAGCTTATTCAAAAGCAGCTGAAAAGAGGATAAAAGGAAGCCATAGACTGAGAAAATATTTGCAAATTACCTATCTGATGAGAGAATTGCAACCAGACTGTATATAAAACTTTTGAGACAGACTCAATTTTAAGAAAACAACCCAAGTAAAAAATAGACAAAAGAGTTGAGCAGATACTTCATCAACAAAAATATACAAGTGACAAATAAATACACGGAGAGATGTACAACATCGTTATTTGTTAGGGAAACACAAAACCACCAGGAGATACAACTATACAACTACAAATCTATTAGAATGTCAAAAGTTAAAAAAAACAAACCCCGAACTCATCATTTGAATTGATGCCAAAGATGAGGGGTAACTGGGACTCTTGTACATTGCTAGTGGAACGGAAAATTTTACCACCACTTGAGAACAGTTTGGAAGTTTCTTATACATTTAAACATGCATCTACCATATGATCCATCCATGCCACTCCTAGATATTTATCCAAAAGAAATGAAAGCATATATTCAGACAAATACTTTGGCACAAATGTCTCAGCACCTTAAACTGTAATGGCCAGTACTTGAAAACCATCCGAGCGTCAGTCAACAGGCAAATAGATTAACATTCACCTGTAATGAACTACCACTTAATATATAAAGGAATGGACTGTTGGCACATGAGACGAAATTTGCTTAGTGAAAGAAATCAGAGCCAAACTGCACGTGCTATATTTTTCCCCTCTCATTAAACTCTAGAAAATGCAAACTGATCTGTAGCGACATAAAGCAGGTAAGTGATTGTCTGGGAAAGGGGAGTATGGAGATGATGGGAGGGAGACAATATGAAGGGGCACAAGAAAACTTTTTGAAGCAATGTATGTCTCCTTTCCTTGTGATTATTTCACAGGTGTCTACAAACATCAATACTTAAGAAATTCTACACGTTAAACATCTGCAGCTTACTCTACATCAGTTGTAATTAAATCAAGCTCTTAAAGCAGGACAAGACATAGTTATTAAAGTTGTTATAAAAGTGTTTGGTATTTAAAGGGGAAAATGTAAGGAATATATCATGGGGAAATTACCAATTTCCATGCATTCTGGATAAGTGAACATACATGTATTCATGGGAATGGAGAGGGTGTTGGCCAGTGTTATTTATATTGAATATTAGCCGACAATCTTCAAACATTAAATTATAGATATTTAATTTGTCTGGTTAATAATTTTCTAGGTACCGTTTTCTACAAATTAATTGGTCGAAATACAGTATGAAACTGAAATAAATGAACACATTTGCCAACACTGAACTTAATAACTTGCTTTTCATTTTTTCAGGGCCCTCTGTCCTTAACTTTGGTGAAGTTTGTGTGAACTCCACAAATACTCATCTATTGCATGTTATTAATATGCTACCTATGCATATTTTGATCCAATTAGATATTAATTTGGAAGAACTTCAGAAAACCAAGCAGTTTTCATATGTGGTTCCACCTACAGCTAGTACTCATATTTCAATAATATTTGACTCTCCAGCCATTGGAAAATTTTGGAAGTAAGATTTATTTTTGAATTTCTATATGCTAGAATCAAAGTGTGCTTTTGTAGAATATGTATGTATTTGCCCCAGTAATTGTAGTATGTATTGTTTGGTCCCAAAACATAGTAACTATATGTGCACCAATTTGTAGGTTTGTAGTCTCATATTTCAGTGGTAGTCTGATTATCATTTGTAATTATTTTGATGTACTGCTTACTAAGAATTAATTGTGGATGTTAATAGGATATGCATTTTTACATGTAATTGAATTCTGTAATTGCAAATAGCCAGTCTTGGTTAAGTTTGGATGCTTTTACTGTGTTACAGGGCTTTCAGCTTTACAGTGAATGGAATACCCAGTGGGCACATCCTAGTGACGGCAGTTGTCATCCCAGTAAAACTTGAGCTATCTTCTCATGAGCTAGTATTGAGACCACAAGGCTCCTCCATGAAAACATGTTTTAGGGGAATGGTTAGGTTACACAATTGTCATAATTATTTTCCCCAGTTTGAATGGCAACCAGTAAACACAGGAAGAGGAATGGCATTTTCCATTCATCCAGCTAAAGGTATAGTTCATTCTGTTTGTTTGATTTAGACACTCATTTATTCATGTATTTAGGCATCAATCATTTATTGAATGTATATTACACAAGGGTCTGAAAAACAGAAATAAATCAGATGTGGTCAATAGGGCATTTATTTTTACATACTTAAGTACATATATTTGATTTTAAAATATGGATCCTGTATTAGTCAGGCTTCTCCAGAGAAATAGGAGCAAAAAGAAATGTATCTATACAGAGAGAGAAAGATTTTAAAAGATTGGCACATATAATTGTGTGGGCTGGCAGATTTGAAGTCTTCAGGGCAGTTGGCAGGCTGGAGACTCAGGGAAGCATCATGCTGTAGTCTTGAATCCAAAGGAACCTCAGTCTTTTCTCTTCAGACCTTCAACTAAATGGATGAGGCCCACCCACATTATGGAGAATAATCTGCTTTACTCAAAGCCTATTGAGTTAAACGTTAATCATATCTAAAAAAAATACCTTCATAGTAGCATCTAGACTGATGTTTGACCAAACCACTGTGTACCACAGCCTGACCAAGTTCACAGATGAACCTATCACAGATGCTGATGAACACAGTATTTTGTTTTAGTTTTAGTTTGATGTTGATGGTAAAATATGATTCAGAATGACTTAGATTTTGTTAGATTGTGAATTCTTTTAGAAGGATCCACAAATTCTTTATAGTCAATATTTGATACAGGTAATAAAACCCAATTAATAAAATTTAGAACTTAAAACTGTATTTTTAAATAATGAATGTTTAAATTAATAGCAAATAATCTCAGATTGGCTGTTTTCATTAAGCAGTAAATTTGGTTCCTCATATTTACCAATTGTCCTCTTAACCTTGTTTCTGCCATTTCCTGGAATCTAACATGATATACCTATTATAAGAACTGAGCCCTGGTAACTGCTGAACTTTCCACTTACCTAATAGTTTGTCAAATTTGGCAAATATCATTGTGATGTGGTATGAAGACCTCATGAGGATGCAGGCTATTATTTGAAGAAATAAAGCGGCAAGTTAGAAGTTGAATGATCAATATAGTGTCTTTGTTTTATGGACGTGTCATGCCTTTCCAGCGAGATGGAAAAATCTGTATCTTTGTATCTGCAGTGATTCATGTGGTGCTTTAGAACTAGCCGAAGTCTACTTCTGCGTGAACGGAAAGTAAAACAAACTTTGGAGTTACATAGACCTGATTTTAAAACTACTCTTAGCTTCTCACTAGATTTGTGATCTTGAAAAATGTACTCTATAAGCAGTAGTTTTCTTATTTGTGAAGTAGGGAGACTGATATTCTCATGATGAGTACATGGAAGAACTTCTTCTATAGTGACTGGCAAATGGTAGGTGCCAAATAAGTAGATAGCTATTTGATTATGACTATTTGCTAATTCTGTTCGACTTATTTTTTTCCCTGAAAGTGTCCTCAGAATAATAGCAGTGTATCATGCATGTTGCCATCCATCCCCACTATCAGTTCCTTGCTCCCCACTTCCTTCACTCTCTCTTTCCTTCCCTCCTTTCTTCTTCTTCCGTTCCCTTTGCCCTCCCTCCCTCTTTATCTCTAATTTAGGAATAGTTATCACTTGGGATCTAAATGGACTGTATTTCAGATCATAGAGGAGCTCTGGTTTGTAGAACTCTTGCCTTAGGTGTACTTTCTTTTAAGACTCAGTCATTTCCAAATCCTAATTTTTATGTAACTATCAGTGTAACAGGGAGTGTTATAAACAAGTGTAAGTATTAATTTAAAATCACTTAATTTTAAGGTGGATGTATAGGTGGGTGTATACAGTGGAAGAGTAGTGTTGTCCCTTCATTAGGGTTGGAGATCATCACTATAGCCGTATTTAATCTTTTTATTCACCTGGGTTGACTTAACACAGTTCTGAATTTAACACAGTTCCAGATTATAATTTACTAAGCATTCAAGGTATACTTCCTTCATTATTTAGCAGATTCATTTGGCGAAGCTCTTTTTTTATTATTAATACTGGTAATACTGAGTCCTGCCCTAATCTAGAAAAAAGCCAAGTGAACAATCAGAGAAGAAAGAGAAAGTGTTTGTGCCTATTTCAGAGATTCTAGATTGCCTCCTCCAGTGTTTTGGAACAGTTATCAAACAGTGGTAGTTACAGTATCTGCATTCCCGCTCCAGGTTCTGACCCAGCATGTGAAATGGCACTAAGAGTGTCTGGAAAGCACAGAGAATGGCACCTTTCCTTGTATTTCTCCATCCCATCCAAGGCTGAATTGCTTGGGCTTCCCCCTTGTAGCTGCCATTGGAAATGCAGTCATGATGCTTAGTTTGTCAGAAGTGAAGTGAAATTATCATAGTATAAAGTGATACACCAGATAGGCTTCTCATGATCTTTAGAATTCTCATTTTTATAGAAATGATTTTAGTATTTACTTTCATTTTCTTTGGGTTGTGGCTAACACGCCTTGCATGTTTTAAAGCACAAAACACAAAGATACTTAATTCCAAATACAGTGGTTGTATGAGTAACACCATCCATTAGCTTTAAGTACTTTTGACTTTTTTGAACACAAAAGATACAATACTGAAATCTATTTCATATAGCATTGAAGAAAGTGCATAATTTGTATATGTACGGTTTTCTTATGTCATTTTCCTTTTGGCGGTTAGAATATTCATATAATAATATTTTTGAAAAGTGTTTACTAAGATAGAATTTGCTTCTAATTTGGCTTCTTCATTAGATAGTGTTCGTGTTTCTTCTAATTTGTTCTTAGTAATTTAAGGCAAGCCAATTTGGCTTCTTCATTAGGTAAGCGTTCGTGTTTCTGTTTGTTCTGTCTCGTTTTCATCCTTGTTGTCTTCCGCTTCAGTCCTCAAACTCGCCTTCATCAGTTCGGGCTCACTGTCTTTCTCATGGCTCGCACTCCTTGGCCATGTCACTGCCCTGCCAATCCCAGCCTTGCTCTATCCAGCCGTCCATTTGATTTTCCGTGTGTCCTGACATGCATAGTGTTCTTGGAGAAAAGGAGATAGCCATGCTGGCTGCAGGGAAAGTCCTCACCTCAAGCTGACCTCTCAGTGTGGATCTGTAATCCTGGTGTTGCTCTCCACTCTTAGCACACCGAGTCTTAATGTACAGCACCGAATCTGCTTTGCCAAAGTTACTGCCCATCAGTCTTCTCCACACACCACAGTTATGTATTTGCTTGCCAGCTTCTATTGGATATGAAAATTAATATAATTAAACTGTGATAAATATCTTATTTTCTCTAAATCCTCTGTAGGTACAGTTGAACCATACTCCTCATTGGATTGTGAAGTAACATGGCAGCCAAGTTTCATTTCTCCAGAAGAGGGAGAATTTATTCTTCACATCAAGGAAGGAAACACACTGACACTAAAATGTGTTGCACATGTAATGATTTACCTTGAATATGACTTTTCCTTTTTGAGGGTTCTAAACTGGTTGGGTATACTTGGGGATAAATATACTTGTTAGTGAAACTGATTTTGTGTGCAATACTTTGTTAACTAAATTATCTTAGCATCTTCTTAGCACTACTTCTCTGTGATAAATGAAGACTTTGCTAAACAATGTTTTGTTATCTATAATTAACTCAGAAATCCAAGACTTTTGTGCCAACAATAGCAGATTGTTATTAGAGCCTATATAAATATGTAATACCATGGGAGCCACTTGAAATTAAATTATTTCATTAGTAGACACCGAAGAAAAATAGAGAAAATTGTATTTTTGCAATACTGTACTGTATTGTTAGTGTTCTAGTAGTAATTAATAATTCAGTATGAAATGGATCATGTAATTTATCTAGCAAGGAAATATGGAAAATTCATATTTTTATAGAATTACTTCTAATAGTAAAAATATGAGTAAATTTAAAGGTGTAATATGTAATTTTAACTTTCTGTGGTAGAGCCGCAGAGGCCTTAACTTCATGTCTCTTAATCAGCAAGAATCCACTTTACTTGTGTACCAAATTTCCCTCCCAGTGTTCTTAGTAATTTAAGACAAGCCAAATGTTGATTTATTAAATCCCATCTCTGTCTCTGAGCCATGATCATGCTCTTACATATTTCAGCTATGAAGGAGCTTGTCGCCTTAAGGGACGAGATTCATCTACTTTAATGATGGCAAATGACAGTCAGAAATCAGTAGGGTCTTCCCTCTGCTCCAGGTTTGAAATAAGCTGGGCTCTACTGCTTTCACTATGTTTAAATTACTTCTTCTTCTTCTTAAAACTTCGTTCTGAAGTATAGTATACATGCAGAAAGGTGCACATATTATAAATTATGTGTCACTCAGTTAATCTTTAGAGACTCATAACACCTTTGTAACTCACACCCACACTAACCAGATCAAGAAACAGGACATGACGAGCATCACAGAAGCACCTCCACTACCAATCCCCATTTCCAGTCAGTGTGTGTCCTTCCCAGGGTAATCACTATCCTTACTTCTAAGAGCACAGATTAATTTTGGTTTTGAGCTTTATACTTATAAATTGAATCAAACCATACATTCTCTTTTATGTCTGGCTTCTTTTGTTCATCATTAGGTTTGTGGGATTCATCTATTCTGACACATGTGGTGACGGACCATTTATTCTCATTCCTGGACAGTACTGTGTGACTACACCATCGTTTGTCCATTACGCAGCTGATAGGGATTTGGATGATTTCAGATTTTTTAGTTGATATAATAACGCTTCTATTAACATTCTTACAACTGTCTTTTGCTGAACATGTGTACACAGTTCTTTGACTGCTATTTACAGAACTGCTTGACACATTTGCTAACATAAATTTGCCCACAAACTCACCCCATGTGTATTTTTTCTAACAGGTGAATAATGAGTTTAGCAATTTAGACTTATTTGTTGAGTGATTACTGTGTGTCAGGCACGATGCCAACTGCCATTCATGTATTATCTAATTTAATCCTTACAACAGCTCTGTAAAGCACGTGCTAATAACCCAATTGATGGGTGAGGAAATGGAAGGCTAGAGTGGTTACTTAACTAATAACAAGTCACACATGAAGGAAATGTCCTAGATGAAATGTATATCCAGATCTATTTGCCTCCACAGCCTTTGCTGTTATGGAGCTTTACTCCATAGCCTTTGCTGCTTCCCTATACCACTAGGTTTGGTTAAGGATGAAATTCCGAGATATCGGAATAATGATTTAGGTCATTTTTTTGTAAATTTTTGAAGCCCTTAAAGTTAAATGGGCTGTGAAGTGTTACCCTTAAGAAAAATAAAGATGGAGGAGCATGAAGTGATTAAGTAAAATTTTCATTTAAGGTTTTCATTAATTTATGAAGGACTTACCTGGCTATTTCCTCTTCTGTTAGTTTTGTCTGAAAATTTATTGCTCCAGTTACCCGAATCATGTTGTTCAAATAATTATGAGAATATATGGAAATCTCCTAAGACAATAAAATAATTTATCGTAGATACAGACAATAGGGTCTGGTCTAAAGAGCACTGAATGAGGAATTGCAAAAGATGGGTTCTAGTTCCCTTTGGCTATTGCTTGTTTCTCTGTGAAACTGGAGAGGTGGAGAATATGAACATTTCCAAAAAGTGTGTAGGATGCACTAGTTCTGTGAAGTGATTTGCGTGGGCTGCAGAGGAGTCCTGAGCCTAAGTCATTCTGTGAATCACAGTGACGTACCTCCTCCTTCTCAGAGAAGCAACACACACATTGTCAGTATTAAGCACTGTGAAAGGGCCTCTGGTAGAAACGTGCCTGGACAATCTCATGTGGCACATTATTTCCCATATTTAGGTGACCCTTGAACAATTTCCTTTTGCATAGCACATGGTTGGGGAGATGAGCTCTAAAATCTTCAGTGATTAATCTACATGGTTCTCATTCCTGGATTTGCTTCCTCCATAGAGTTGTCTTACTTCCCTGTCTTCATCAGTTTAGGTGTACATTTTAAATATTCCATCCTATTTCCCTTTCTGTTAAGCATATAAAACCTGTTAACACCTCATATTGTAGAAATTTCCCTGAAGGTAAGAAAATTCGAGTTATCTGGTAGGGGATGAAAAAAAATTTACTGTTATTTCTATTGCATTGTCCTTTTCCTCCTCTAATTATTAGGTTGGTCACACCAAGGTCATGTGTTTGCAGCCAAGGATAATCTTCAGTAATAGCCCTCAAGGTTTGACAACTTGGAAGAAAGCCATTCTTTCCAATGTTGGACAAAACCATGCATATTTCAAGGTAATGTAGCACCTTAGAAATCTACTTGGATCAGATCATATAATTTGAATTAATTTTTTGCCATGAATACTATAGTTATTACTTTAGTCTTTATAAATTTACTAATGTTAATATGTATATATTTTATATGAGATTTTTCTGAGTACATTTCATATATGCTTTCCTTTTAATTCCTCACAAAAATTGTTTCTCTCTTCTTTCCTTAGTCTCTCCTTTTCTTCTCTTCCTACTCCTTTTTCTTCTTCCTCTCTGTTATTTTATTAAAAAACGATAGATGACTTAAAGAATTTAAAAAATATGCGTTGTTGTTGTTACACTCCATATTTAATTATATGCTTTTCCTTTTCTCTGCATTTTCACTCTGCCATCAGGACTGTTAAGGTAACAACTGGGACCTAGATCAAGACTCTTTTAAGGATACTCTGTTTATAATTGTTGTTCCTAATTTGAATTGTGGGGCGGGGGATGTTTAAATTGGTGATAGAAGTTTTTACTGAAAAATATATGAAGATCTCCCAGACGTGACAGTAGAGGTTAGTGTCCGAGATCCTTCAGTCGAGCTTTGTATTTGCACGTCTCCTGCCCAAACAAATCTGTGCAGATACCCTTTTCTACTCTGTTGCTTTAGAATTAGTTCTGAAGTCTACTTGTTCCCTCATCCCCACAAATACCTTAACTGATTTCTCTTTAAATTATTCTGGCTTAAAGCGTGCTGGATAGGCCTAAATTGGCCTCTGACAATCCTTTGGTAAGTTACTTATGACTTGTCTGAAGGTCCAAATGGTATCTTAGACATTAGGCCATCAAGGAAATAGTAAAGAAGAGGAGGCTGCTTCATCGTCTTGCCTCTTCACTAACTCTGGTTCAGTTTTTAGTATCAGAGAAGAGGCAAACTGTGAAAGTAGTGTCTAGAATTTTGGCATCTTCTCTAACGGATATACCTCATCCTTGTAAGTTTTGCAAAGTGTTGAAAACACACCAGAAAATAAACGTCATCATCCTATTTGAATTGGAACATGCCATTATTGAAAGTTCTGTTTTCTGGATTAAGGGTACAAATCTTTGTTGAAGTTCAAACAGTTTGTGCATCTGGTGTTGAAAATTGATTACAAAGTCATTTCATGCCCTGTGCCCAGGGGTCTTCTGTCTAGGTAATAGTCTGGAATCTTTCCTATAAAAGCTTTGGAACAATAACTTTAAAGGATAATGTAGCATTTCTGCAAATCTTCCATTCTAGGTTTGTGGCCAGAGTCTTTTGTCTACCATTAATATTGTTCCATCACATGGAATAATTCCAGTGGGGGGGCTAACTCTTCTCAACATCTCCTGTACACCAACTGTGGCAGAAAACTTTGATACAATAGCTGAGGTATGTTTATACATTATATATATTTGCACCGTGTATATGCCTGTCTGGATTTGTCTGGTTGTTTAAGATGTTTATAATAGTAGGTATTATGCCATAAAATCTTGTGTACCTGGTTATCTTAGAAAACTCCTTTTGATGATTTCTAATGGGAATGGGTTCTAAGATTATGATATTAATGAATAACTTTTCAAATTTGTTATTTTTGTAGCACTTGAGTTAGTTTTAAAGAGGTAAAGTTTTTAGAGATCTATAAAATAAGCAACCTTACCTATACAATCTATTGCAGAAATGGTTAGCAGAAGGCGGCAAGAGGATTTGTGGAAAATATTTCAGGACAAAGCCTCACTAATCATAGAGCAAAGTATGGCTTCTTTCATAGGCATGAACTAGATACCTTAGGAAAAATTAATCAGTTTTGGAGTGCTAATTCTAAATAGCTTCAATGACTGAATTGTAGGCAAATTATATATGATGTTAACATGTATATTTTATAGCACACACAAAGTGTTTTACTATTTTATGTTCTGGGAATTATGTAAATGAAAACATTCCTTGATTTAAGGGAGTTCTTTAAGTTTTCATTAAACAATAAATAAAACATGTAAGACTAGTTTCTGCTAAAGTTCATTTATTATAAACTTAAGGAATGGAATACTCTTGGTCATCAGTCTGATAAACTGTGTGCCATCTGCTTACATTAAAAATACTATGTACACTGTTATCAGATCAGAATGAGTAACTTTATATTTATCCCCATTTTATCTTTCAATTTCCCATAACAACTTTTAAATAATACATATATGAATATGATAAACACTACTTGCCTGGCCCCCAAATAAATAACCTCATAATTTTTTTTACTTTTATGAAGAAATATGAATTGAGAGGTGCTTTTATATTATATATTGTGGTATATGGTCTGAGATTTGGGCAGACTTTTTCACATAATCTGGAAAAAAAATATGGCTACTAAAGTATAGATTTTACTAAAAGATTAATTTCCACTGTATTTTAGAGGATTATGCTGTTCTTACAAAGCTTACCTTTTTTTAACATTATAATATAATGAGATTCATTTATTCATCCATTCAACACATATTTACTGGGTGCACATTATGTGTTAGTCTCTGTTGTACATGCTAAGGATGCAAGATTGAACAAGATAACCAGGGTCCTTGATCTCAAAGAGCTTACAGTCTGGTTGGGGATACAAACAAAGGAAAATTAAAATATAGTGTAGAAAGTACATTGTTGGAGAAATCTGGCAGGCTAAGGGAGTACACAGGAGAGGTTAGCAACCCAATGAAAAGGATCAAGGACGGTTTCCTGGGGAAACTATATCTGAAAAACAACTGAAGTTAAGAATCAGTCGGTTGAAAGAGATGGTCATGGCATGGAGGGAGAGGCGATGGAAGATAATTTAAGAAAGCACAAATTGAATATGTTCAGGCATGGGGCAGAGAGATAGCTGCAAGGAACATATGAGAAACTTAAAGTTTAGCATGACTAGATTGTAGACTGCATGAATAATAAAAGTTTAGCATGACTGGATTATGGGATGCACTACGATAGTGGGGAAAGATGTGTTTAGCGACTTGTATAAGTTTCAGGTCATTCAGGTCCTTACCAACAGTGTTAGGAAGTCCAAGCTTCATCTTAAGAGGTAGGAGTTTTAAGCATGGGGATTTCACAATCAGATTTGTATTTTTTGGAGCTCACTTTAGTTATAGGGCAGTAAATGGGGGCCAGTAAGACTGAATGCAGAGTTATTAGTCTGGTGAAGAGGTCCAGGCCAGAGAAGATGTTGTTCTCTTTCAGGAAGGAGGAATCTAGACAAATTTTAGTCAAATGTAGGAGATGAATACTTAAGGCTCAGTGATTGAAAAGGGGCCACCTATAAACAAAAGGGGTAAGGTATATATTTAGAATGAAATCTAGACCTGACTGCTTCCTATTTTTAGGTAGGGCTTTCAGCAAATGCTATTTCTGTGCCTCTGAGCTTTTGCTTAGACAACCATATGTTCAGATAACTACAGTTCTTATTTTGTACCATACAACTGAATTCTTACTTCACTGTCTTGATTGGCTTGGAAGCAGTTGAGTGTTCAGGCAGCCCTTGGTTCATTTTGCTGCTTTCAAGTTTTGTGATGCCAAGAAAAAAACAAAACATTTGGCCTCTCTAAGCCTCAGTTTTCCACACTTGAAAATTAGGGCATTAACAGTAGTGACCTCACAGAATACTGAGGATCAGAAAGGAGGTAATGCATTTAGCACTCTACTTGGCCCACTTACTTGGTAATTTTTTAGGAACTCTTACTATTATGGTCATTGTGGATATTAGTATCTCTCTGTAGGAAGAAATATGTTTGTACTCAGTTTCCTATTTGTTTTAATTTTGAATAATCCATTGCAATGAGGTTAAATAAAAAGAGATACAGAGAGTGGCAATAATTTCTAGTCAAATGGATAGAACTCCACAGTCAAACTCACAAACTGCCAGCTGATCTCATGTGTAGTGGAGGTTTTTAAGAGTTGAGCACTCACTGCTCTTAGGAAAAACAATTGTGCATAACATGAAATGTGATGACCACCACCAGAATAAATCTTGTGATATTCATAATATGTTTTGAATATTTAAATTCTAAAATGTTGCATCAATGCCAGGTGCTACATAAGCAGTATATATTTTGATTTGGTTTCTACAAAGTTTTATATTTCTCTTAAATATGGTTGCTATTTGTCATAGAAATGTCTTAGACCTTAGGATTGGTGGATCTGTTGAGATTGCTGATGTCGAAATTAATCCGGTGAGTATGTTAACTATTTGTGTAATCAGTTTGTAAGTGTGGTGGTTTTTATTTGTATATGCCTCTAGTCACCCTGTTTATGTTTAAAAATATTTTTTATGTAGTCCTTTGACATATAAAAATTCACATATGTAATATAAATATAAGTGATAAAGCAGAATATTAAAGGAAGGTTTAAGAATTCCCCACTGAACTTAAGTATCATATGGTGCCAATACCATTAAAATTACCTGTAGGTTTCATTGTGATTCTACCCTTCTTAAGGGATAACCACTTTCCTAAATTTTGTGATTATTATCCCTTTACTTTTTTTAATTGGGTTACCAGACATGTATGAATTCCTTAACCATTCATTATTTAGTTTAGTTTGTTCATTTTTAAAGCTTTATAACAAAAACTTACTGTTTGTAGCCTTTGGTGAATTACATTTAGTTGGTTATTGTGATTCCAAAGTTTATCTACATTGTGTGTAGCTGTATTTTATTACTTGGCTGGTTATTAGTTCATTGTGTACAGCTACTATAATTTGTAGACTGACTCTGTTCATGTAATTGTTTGTGTGTTTCTGTTATTACAAACACTACAGATGTGAACATTCATGTACCACTCTTCTGAGGTACATATGCAAGAGTTTCTCTCGAAGTAGAGTTACTGAGTCATAGAGTATACTGTGTACAGTATAATGGTATCACCACAATTCTGGGGTTTGGCTTAATTATAAGGTATAATTTTCTAACCTTTATTTTTTTTGGTGTTGAGAGCATGGTAAGTCCAGATAGACTGACAGATACTGAGCTAGCTTGTCTAAGACTATGGTGATTTTGGACATTAAACCCTTTCGTTTCCAGAGTGCTTTCTCCATTGCTATGGTGTCTCTTCTTGGACAATATTGGACAAGTATCGAAACTTCTCCTACTTTATGTCCTCATCCTAAAGGCATTTGTGGCATGTTATGCATGTTATGGTACAATTGAGTGTAAGATTTTACATTAATATATATCAATATTTCCTAAGTATGTTGAATTGAACTTAGCTGCTTAGCCACCTTTAAATGAAAGTAATATTCTAGCATCACCAGATATTGTTAGCAATACATTTAATAACTGTATGGCATTGAATATGTGTCTTAGTAACAATTAGGAAATTTTATCCAAATGAGTATATGGGCAAGGCCAAAATGGGCTAAGATAAGTGACTGACTTCTTTTGTATATAGAAAGCATCAAACTTTTATTACTCACTTTGGATTTTATAATTTTCACCTGGGTAATTGGGTTAATAAAATATTTTAAGTGAAACAAATTGTGGCCAGTTGACGTTATTGCAGTCAGAGTTTTCTTAACATTAAGACGTGATTGCTTCTAAACTGAAGGAACAAAATAGCAGCAGACTCACAGACTCCAAGAAGGGACTAGCAGTTACCAAAGGGGAGGGTGGGTGGGGAGGGAGGGAGAAGGGGATTGGAGGATATCATGATTGGTGCACATGGTGTGTGTGGGGTCACAGGGAAGACAGTATAGCTCAGAGAAAACAAATGGGACTCTGGCATCTTACTACACTGATGGACAGTGACTGCAATGGGGTATGGGGGCAACTTGATAATAAGGGTGAATGTAATAACCACATTGTTTTTCTTGTGAAACCTTCATAAGAGTGTATATCAATGATATCTTAATAAAGAAAATACTTGATTGCTTCTTTCTCTTTTTAATGTTATACCTAATTCTTTTACTACAGAACTGTAGGATATATATAGTAATTCTTCCAGAAGGAGGAAGCTGTCAAGAGTTTTGTGATGTGGGCATATAAGCTAAAGTCAGGATACATTCATTAAGTGTTACTTGTACATTTAAGCTAGTTATCAGGTAAGTGCTAGGGATGCAAAAATCAGTCAGGCTTAATGTCCACTAGGGGAAACAGATATGTAAACAAATAAGTGGACTTTGTGATTTTGTAAGTAAATATAAGGAACAGAAGTAATCCCAAGAACAGTATAATAAATTGTGATTTATCTAACTGGAATTTGAGGGATTTATAATATTTTACTAGGCAATTATAAGTTGGAGAAGGACCTTCCTGGCAGAAGGGACACCTTGGTAAAAACAGAATGGTGAAGTGTCAGGTATTGGTTGGAAATGACAGGTCAAGCAGCTTGCTGAAGTAGTGAGTGCAGGGATGCGAGTGAAGCTAGGTGAGACGGGGGACGCTCCTGGAGAACTGTAGGGACTCTGCTAATGGACTTGGTCATTGTCCTGTAGTGGGACGAGGATCATCACATTTTAAGACAGGAAATGATGTGGTCAGATTTTCAATAAGTTTAATTGTGCCTTAGTTGTGGAGAGGAGAATTGGAGGAAGTCAAAATCAAGAAACAAAATGAAAAGTAATGAGTTACTAACTTCATACAATTACAACAATGGGAGGGGAAGGAGGAGGCAGAATGAATGGGATTTGATAAGTGATTACATATAAGAGGTGGTGGGAGGAGGAAAATGGGACCAATTTTTATAGAGCACTGTAGTTATTAGTGTCCTTGATAAACACAACAGTGTAATTCTTTTATTGAGGCATAACTGATGTGTAACAATATTAGTTTCAGATGTATAACAATATTAGTTTCAGATGTATGACATAATGATTCAGTATTTACATATATATTGTAAAATGATTACCATAAAAGGTCTAGTTAACATCTGTTACCAAACATTAAAAAATTTTTTTTCTGTAATGAGGACTTTTAAGGTTTCTCTCTTACAGTATAATTTTTAATTTACATTATTTTCATAAACTCTTACTCTATAATAATTATTTCTTTTTTTAAATTTTAGGATGTATTTAACTTCAGTGGCACATATATTGGCACCACTCAGGTTATTCCATTTTTAATAAAAAACAAAGGTATAACGCATGCAAGAGTGGATTTCAATTTAGAAGAGCTTGAAGAATTTTCAGTGGATTTTAAAGGTAAATCAGGTGTGTATTTTATACCATATTGTTACTGTAAAAGCAAGTCTTAAATTGTTCTAAGTTACAATGTTAAATACTGTAAGTCAATGGCAATTATTCCAAAATATTTCACATGACTCAATGTATGCTTTTCTTATATTCTACAACCCATTGTTTTATTAATAGAAATTCATCAATATTAGTATCAGAACACTTTGGTAATGCATTACATATAACCATGCTCACTAGTTGATTTACTGTATAGTAAGTTAAGTATGTGGTGTGTAAGTATATACTCTAAATGAAAATAAAATTATTAATTGCTAGTTTTAATTGCCCAAGAATTTTAGGTGAATATCGTTGGAGGGCTCTCTATAATGTTTACTTATGTATTAGGTATCTTAGTGTTAAAGGAAGTTTTAAAAATACACGCTTTTATAAGTGTATTTCATTTGTTTACTTCAGGGTTTGGCAAAGAAAGGCCCAATCTGGACTGACGCCTGTTTTTACAACTGAAGCTTTAGTGGAACATAGATACATCCATTTGTGTATTCATAGCTGTTTACATACTTTAATGACAGAGTTAAGCAGTTGTGTTAGAAAACATATGGCTTGTAAACCCTAAAATACTGTCTGGATCCTTACAGGAAAAGTTTATCAACCATTGGTTTAGTCATTTCTTCTTCAGTAAATATTTGTTGAACACCAATTATAGGCTAGATACAAAATTTTGAGTTTATAACAATGGTGAGGCATCTCACATGTTCTCAAGAAGTGAGCAGTTAAGTTTATCAGTCAGGGTCTCAGTAATAAACATGACTCAGTGGAAGGGTTTAACTTAGAAGAGTGTAATGAAGGAGTTATCTATGGAAGTGGGAGCCAAGTTAAAAGAAACCAACAAGGGATGGAAGCCGCTACCATCTCTAGGCTGAGGCAGGAGACAAGATGCTGGAGCCCTGTGACCGGTGAAACTATGAAAGAGGGGCCACCTGGTAAGATTTATAGCTGTAAGGGAATGTACCCATTGCTAGAACTGTAGCCAAGGTAGAGAGGACATGAGAGCAGAAATACTTCCTACCCTCTGATAACCTGCTTGTGTCTTTCTGTGGTTGAACCATATCAGAGGCAGAAGAGCAAAGGGACCTAGGTGAATTGGTCTGTGGAGATCAGGACAGAGGTCTCAAGCAGATGAGAGAAAGTTGGCTATTGGATCTAAGTGACGAATGCAGACCATCTATAGCTGTAGCAGAGATGGGCAGAGAATCAGATTATTACCATATAGTAGGGCAGATGCTATAAAACAAGTGAGTATATGGTGCTAAAGGAGCATATATTAGGGAAAACTAGCTGAGAATCTAATAAGGAAAGATTGACTGGAGAAGTTGATGCCTAATCTGAATCTTGCAGAATGACAAGGAGATACAGAAGAAAAGGGAATAATGTGAAAGAATGCAAGGAAAGGCCTCAAAATGAGTCAATATGGTAGGTAGTTCAGGATGTCTAGAGCAGAGCAAGACAGGACTGGAGGGGCAAGTGAGACCCAGGTAACTAAGGGTCTTTTCTGGATTTTTATTCTAGAAGTTAGGCAACACCATTAAAGGAAGTATATCCAGGCAATGGTGTGATTAGGCTCACACGGTGCTAATTTTCCTTTTGGAGCAAAGTTGAGAATGGGCTGGGGGAAAAGGTATTTGTGGGAAGGTCAGGCGCAGAGACAGAGCGATCAGTTAGGTGTTATGGTCATATAGGCAAGAAGTGGGGAAAGCCTGTACCCCGGTGGTGATGCAGGGGATGGGAAGGAAGAGAGCACAAAGGTGCTGTGAAATTAGAAGCTCCCTGGCTTGGAAACAGGGATGGGGGTGGGGGTGGGGGAACACGGGTATTAGAGGAGAGAAGAAGTCTCAAATCACTTCTGCTTTTTGACTTGAAGAAAGAAGCAGGTGACTGGAGGTACAATTAATTCAGTTGATGTACTGTGGGAGGAGGAGGAGGTTTAGGGAGCACGCTGTGTTTGAAGAAACTGTGGAATAGCCTGGGAAGGATTACAGTAGGCCATTGGAAATACATATGAAATCTATATTCTTTTTTTCTGGATGTTGAAACTTTAGTTCCTTTAACACTTTACCCTCACTGACTTCCCCATATGCTTTCACACACCTTATTCAATGGCTCATAGACTCTTCTTGGACATTGTGCAGAGCTACGTAGCAAGGGGTGTTTCTCCCTGCAGTTCTGCCTTAGCCCTAGTTAAGCCTTCCTTCTGGCCACTGTCTCCTCTTCTCAAATGCTTTTCCTGCCTCCACGCCTTTCTCCTCACACCTGTTCCAGAGAACAGTCTCCTTCAAGCAAAGATATTATCACAACCCTCCTCTGCTTAAAAAGTTTTGCTATTTCCTATTACCAATAGCAGTGGTTTACAGCAACAGGCTGTTGACACAATCCGAGAGGTACATGGTTGATGTTAATAATTATTAACAATTTACAATAAAGTTTTTACTTAAAATGTCCAGAAAACATTTATTATTTTAAGTGTGTTAATACATGAATGCCCTGTATGACAAATGTGACTTGTTTTTTTCACATGATCATTGCAGGATTATTATTTTTTTTATTTTGAATTCCTAATATTATTTATTTATTATTTTTTAATTTTGGTATCATTAATGTACAATTACATGAGCAACATTGTGATTACTAGACTCCCCCCATTATCACGTCCCCACCACATACCCCGTTATAGTCCCTGTCTATCAGCATAGTAAGATGCTATAGAATCCGTTGCAGGATTATTTGATAGAGGATTTAGGGAGAGCAAATGCTGAGTTCCCTTTGGGTCTGACTCTACCTTGTGCCAGTCACCTCTCCCACTGCGGGCGCCAACAGCCCTCTGCTGTGGCCAGATTGTGTTCTATACTTCCTCCCAATGGCATATGGCTTCCCTTCTCTTGGGATGGTTCTTTCTCTTTTTTCCCTGCTCCCTGAGATCACCCTCTTTTATAAATTAGTGCCAGCTTCCTGAATCCTGTGAGTCATTAACCCCATACCCATCCTCATTCTGTTGGTTGAAATTATTTTTTTTAAATCTTTACTCCTTTTAGGGTGTTGTATAAATTTTATTATAGCACTAACCATTTCTGCCTTGTATCAAAAAGAGCTGTGTATACCTTTTGATCTCCCCTACTACTACACCGTGAGCTCTATGAGGTCAAAGACAACATTTACAATTTTTGTTCTCTACTAGAGTTGTCCAATTTAGTGCTGTGTACTTTGTAGGCACTCAAGAAATATTTATTGAAGTTTCCTTGGATTATTACATTTCACAAACTGTATGTTTATATATATATACACTCCAAATATGTTTATGAATATTGATTTATTTATCCATTTATTTTTATTAAATTTTCTATGTTCTAGGTATATGTCCACTGTAGGTTGATATTCTTTGCTGTGTAACATGTGTATCTTTTCCCATACCATAAGCAATACTTGTATTAATATACATTTAATGAAGTTTTTGTTATTCTTATTGGTTTTTACATCATACACCAAGGTGAGTGAAATTACCATGAATGGATGAGTTACTGAAGTTCATGTCCAGGCAGGGATAGTTGAAGTTATTATCATTCCTTGGATTAACCAGAAACCTAAATGAGAAAAAAGGATTTTTAGAATTTAGATGAGGGCAGACATACTGCTATAACTAACATTTGATCTTTCAGGAATTTCTTTTAGAAGTTTATTTAAGTGGTTATAATTTTTGACCCTGATGTTTGCATTATTATTTGACAATTGTTTCTGTATCTCCACCCAGTTCTTTTGTATCTGGACTGATTCCATTTTGTTGGCAACTTTACTCGTATAAAATTGTGCTTATCTTCTTTGTGGACTCTGAGGCATCAGAGGAGGTCAGGGTCTCCTGTCCTTGGTCAGAGGTTCTCCATCTTCATTGAAGAAGAGATCTCCCAACTTTCTTGGACTTAAGATTCCATCAGTTACTTGACCTTGACATTTATTCCTTTCCACATTCATCTGAGTATGACTGTAATATATTTCTTGAACTCTGGAGATTTTTAAAAATGAGTTTACTGTCTGTGTTTTGCTGATTGAATGTATATTTGTTCTGTTTTTGGATATCAGTTTTGCTGCTTAGAATCTAGGTATATCACTTAATATCAGTCCTGCACAGATATTTCCACAACTGCTCTTTGGTTGTTACAAACATGTTGATGAAACTTCTCAAAGTTCCATTTGCACATTTAACAATGGCATAAAAAGTATGCATCTGGCTTTTCTAATATGTCATTTCACCTGTCTTACAGGGAAATTCACGGGCCCTGCATTTCCCAAAATAAATTCTTTGAAGTTAAAGGAAAATACATCTCTGCAGCGTGGTATAACATTTTCTCCTAAAGAAGTAAGTTTTGCTTTCTGTTGTTCATTTTGCTGGAGAGTAGTAGAGTTAAGATAATCCTCACTCAGAAGCTAACAGTGAGGATCATCGAAGCTCTTTTCATAGAGAGTCTTATTTCTAACTTCTGAGCATGCCTGAGTATACCCTTTAATTCAGTAAAATAATTGATCTTTTGTGCAGTGTAAATGTTTGGGTTTTATGTATTTCTCTGCTCTTATATTTTGAAAATATATAACATCACTAAGATATAAAACTCTCTACTTTAAACTTTAATTATTTTTAATTATCCTTCAATTTATTTTAGTTTTTTAAATCTAAAATACTGTATATTTTACATTTAGATTATTACAGAATAGTGTAATAGATTGCAATTGTTTTGCTTGTCTCTTCCATTTTAATAATTATAATTTTTACCTCTTTTTCTTACCATATTACATTATTTAGAATTTCCAGAACAGGGTAAAATTATTTGCTTGGCTTATCTTCATCCTAATTATCTATGAAGCAATACAATGGTTTAAGCTCTTGTTGGGAAATATCTTTCTAGTATTACTAATCCAGAATAGATGAGAATTTAAAAATAATCTAGTCAAATAGCTATATATCATCAATTATATTACTATTGAAAGGAGGAAAACAATATGACATAAAGTTCAACATTATATTTATAGCAGTGTATTTTTTGGTGCACAGCAATCTATATTCAATGAATGAATTAAAATGCAATAAATAAATAAATGAAATAAAAGGCATGTTCATTTCTGAGATCTGTATAATGATAGTGACCTGTATGTCTATCGTTTTCACAGTAACACAATGTCTCTATTACTATAGCTTTGTAGTAATTTTTGAATTTGGAAAACGTGAGTCTGCCAATACTGCTCTCCTTTTGGCTAATTTGTGTCCTGTGCACTTCCAAATGAATTTTACGATCACCTTGTCACTTATCACAAAATATCCAGCTGGAAGTTTGATAAGGATTATGAAGAATTTGGGGAGTAGTGCCATTTTAACAATATTAAGTCTTCTAATCTGTGAACATAGGATGTCTTTCCATTTATTTAGGTCTCCTTTAATTTCTTTCAACAATGTTTTGTAGTTTTCAGTATACAAATTTTCCATTTCTTTATTAACTTTATTTCTAAATAATTGCTTCAGATGTTATTGTACATAGTATTATCTTCTTAATTTCATTTTCAAATCTTTCACATCAGGTGTATAGAAAAACAGTGGATTGTAAACACTGATTTAGTATTCTGCAACCATTGAGCTTATTCATTAGTTCTGACAGTTTGACAGTATATTCTTTAGAATTTTCTATATACAAGGACATGCCATCTGCAAACAGAGAAATTTTTACTTCTTCCTTCCCAATCTGGATGGACTTTACTTTTTGTAGTTCCTGATTTTCAGAAATTCCATTACAATGTTAATGGGAGTGGCAACAAATGACAAACATCTTTATCTTGTTCCTGCTCTTAGTAGGAAAGCATCTACCTTCTACCTTTAAATATGATATTAACAATGATTTTTTGTTGTAGATTCCTTTTATCAGGCTAAGGAAGTTCTCTTCTATTCCTTCTTTGTTGAGTATTTTCATAATGAAGGAATGTTGGATTTTGTCAACATTTTTTGGCATTCATTTTGATGATCACATGATTTTGCCCTTTATTAATATGGCTCATTGATATTTGTATGTTAAGCCAACCTCATATTCCTGCCAGCAAAAATCCCATTTGGTATGGAGTATAATCTTTTTCACACATTGCTGGATTCAGTTTCCTAGTATTTTCCCAAGGGGTTTTGCGTCTATATTCATAGGAATCTTGGTTTTGCAGTTTTCCTCCCTTTAGCTGTCTGTCTGGTTTTGGAATCAGTAATATTGGCTCTTTAGAATGAATTGACAAGTGTTCTCTTCTATTTTTGAAAAAAATTTGTGAAGGGCTATATTAATTCTTTAAATTAGTGATACATTTCACCATTGAAGTCATCTGGTCCTGGGAATTTCTTTGTCATTTAAAATAATTCTAATTCAATCTATCTGTTTGTTATAGATCTATTTCAATTTTCTAATTCTTTTTAAAAATTTTAGTAACAATCCTTTAATTGATAATTATATAGCATTTAGAGTTTATAAAGGGCCCTCCTATTGAACATCACTTTATTTCCACATGAATCCCATAATACAATCATTGAAACCTTAGTTTTTTTCCCTCTATTCTCCAATGGTATGCTTATGCACAGTGGTCTAAATGATTGGCCAAGGCTAGCTTCTGGTGAGCTATAGAACTTAGACAATACAGTGTTATATCCTTAGCTACCTGACCCACTGGGCTTTCATGATACCATGTTGGGAGTCCAGACATGATGAAGAATAGTACATATTCCTTTAACCTATGGACATAAAATTTTCATATCCATTTTTCAGGTTTATTAACTTTTCTCCTTGTTGTTAGCATTCAAAATCTTTAATTTCATGAAACTGCAATCAAATACCATTTTTTATATGTCTCTTTACTGTTCCTTTTTTTTTCCTCTTGTTTTTTTGATGTAGAAGGTTAGGATATTGCTTTAAGGTCTTTTTTATTTATTTTTATATAGGTTTTACAGCTATACATTCCCCTCTAAGTAATCCTTTACCTGTATCCCAAAAGTTTTGGTATGTTGTATCATTTCCATTCATCAAAGTGTTTTGCAATTTCTTATGTAAGTTTTTCTTTGACTCATTGGCTATTTAGGATATGTTGCTTAATTTACACATATTTGTGAATTTACTGGATTTCTCTTTGTTACTGATTTCTAACGTATTCCGTTGTGATTGGAGAATATACTTTGTATTAGGGAAATAAATTTATGTTTACTGAGGCTTATTTTATTGCACTGTGTGTAGTTTACTTAATTATGTTGAGGTAAATCTAAAAGAAACAACTAAGATAGTTGAAAATGATTACATGTGGATTTGTGTATGTATTTGTGTATTTGTGTGTGTATGAGAGAGTATACAATGGTGGAGGGAAGGGAATGCTTATTTTTAAATGAGGTTTGTAATTTTGTTTTACCTTCTCAAGTATGTATTCTTATAATTTTGGTAAAAATAAAAACTCAAAAAAAAAATCCTTCTGTGACAAGTTAGTATTTGGCAGTATTAAGGAATGTCATTCTCCCACCCAATGCTTACATCTTGCGTGAACACAGAGGTATGCAGACCCTCCCTCTGCCTGCACACATACATTCTTCCATAAGGAGAATAATAAGCTTGTGTAGTAATTTATTCTCTAGGTTTTAAAATCTAGTAAGATCAAGTTACAGCTTCTCTTAATAAGTCCATATTGTGATTTTGTATTTTCATGCAATGAAAGTATATATATTGTGTTTTTAATGTCATCATCAACAAAAGCATTTAACTTAAGGGTCACTAAAAATTAGAAAAAATATATAATCCACCTTAAATCTGTTAAATGATTTTGGGGAGGATGCATCTGCAATTTGATATTTTCATTTTTTGAGTGCAATTCACTATTTAACACTGTCAACAATGAAAAACTCATAAATCTACTTTTAATGTTTTGATTGTGGCTTTTCTAGGATTCTAAAAATCGATTATAAAATTAGAATAAATTATATGTATTTACAGTTCTCTGGAGTACCATGGATTGCTTAAGATTTTGAATTGTTCTACATTTAGTTGGTATATTAAAGGGAGACTTACTTAGTGTATTGGAATATAATTTAGTCCAACAATGAGAACATAAAAAACCCTGCAGAGACAACATACCCTGTGAGATTTTGCTCCATAAATTTGAACCAGTGAGGCAGATTGATTATCCGGTTTCTAGTCATTTCAAATGTCCTCCACTATGTTTATAGCTAGCTGCAAGTTATCTGTCTTTGTGTGTGCGTGTGTGTATGTGTGTAGATATAAATAGCCAGTGGGTGCTCTTGTGAGTGACTTGTGTAGCAGGAAAGTGTGAAATCAGCAATAAAGGGCTTGATTTATTTTAGTTATAGCCTTTCCTTTCCTATGCTGTACCAGGTTTGGGTACAATTGAAAGTGCTGGTGGGCAATTGTAGTTTTATTTGGCATCCTTGACTGGCCTTGTTTGTTTATACTAAGTTGCTCAAGCCCCTCCTTTCCTTGTTATCCATTCCTGGGTCTTCTGGGCCAGTATGGAGAGCTGTATGCTTCCCTATATGGTGGCCACTAGCCATATGTGGATATTTAAACTCTAAATTAATGACAGTTAAATAAAATTAAAATTGTATTTCCTCAGTCAAAATAGCCACATTTCAACTTTTCAATACCCACATATGGCTATTAGACAGTGGAGAATGTTTCCAACATCAGGGAAAGTTGTATTTAACAGCACTGGGGTAGATATTTCCCTATTCATACCCTTACCTTTCCTGCTGCCGTGGCCCAGGTCCGCCCTGTAACACAGGCTAGTTAATATGTGGTGGCTCAGTTGCCCTGCAGCTATCCGTGGCTTTCATTTCTGCTGCTTTATATTTGCTGTAAAGCTCTTGAAAATGAGGGATAATTGTTCACTGTTTCACTGTTTTTTTTCCCCATGATCCTTTGTTTGCCCTTTAAGGATATGCAACCTTTGGATAAACATTTCACAGTGGCTGTTCTAGATTTCCAATCACTCTTACAGGAAGCTAAAAACAATCCTTCAAGGATTAAAAGACAAGACATTTGAATGACACCTGCCCCTTTTGTATTCTAAGCATTTATGTCTACCAACACTGGCTGGGGGACTGAACTCTTTTCTTTATCAAGAGTATCGTTTTCAACTTGAGGTATTTCTCTGTGTGAATGAGAAAGTCTAGGAAAGCCCTTGGAATGGTACACTTCACAAAAGTTTCCAGGTTTTCTCTCTTCGTTAGATACCTCAATGCTTTCACTATAACAGGACTCATCTTCCTTTCTGTGTCACTGAGTTTCTGTGTAAAATATAAATCTAATACTCATACATTTTTGTTGAAGGGATAAGGCTTTCATG